CTAAAATGGTACAAATAAAAACACTACACGGTACAGCCCGCGACGAGATTTAACGATAGATAAACCAAGCACAAGATCGCCGTGTTTCGATAAGTATTATATCTCCCAAATGGAGGACAAGTGGTTAAAAGTGTATCAGCACTAAAGCTTTTATCATGATAAATATACATAACGTAAAAATACAAGCACCCAATTTATTCATGAATTATTTATTACCTGGAAATTTCGTTAATTAAATTCCATTGTTATGCTTTTCATTTTATTTTACGATTCACGGATGCAGCAAGTAAATTATTTAAAATAAGAAAAAAGTAGTGCACTTGTACGGTTTTTTGTTTATGTTTACTCAAGTTTTTTAATTATCTTATTAATAATATTAAAAAAAAATTTTTTATTGCGAATAAAGTTAAAAAAATCGTAGAGCAAAAAATGACGTTCATAGATTAATATTGTTTCGATCAACTAAAACAAACGAAAAGTTTTGGCATCTTGAAAAAGTTATTGAATTACAGTCCGACTCTTGACATATATCGATTTAATATTTCAAATAAACAGAAGCGAAAAATTTTTTGAATATTTATTCTGTTGGGCATGCTTGTTATTGAATTTATGAATAAAATTGATTTTTGAAATTTTTTCAATGATGTAAATGATTGTAAAAGAACCGGATAAAATACTGTGGGAATAGAATATAAATTTATGTTCCGTATTTATTTAAAGCAAAGAGAGAAGGAGATAAGGTCGTGATCGAACAGAGCAATCAAGACACGTTTAATTGACAGCAAACACTTGATACGTGATGTTAAATAAATCAGCTGTAAATCTGTCTTTATTTTGTTTGTACTTGTTTTTTGTTGCAAAGAATTTATAGGAAGCGAGTAAACTAATTATAAGCGTAAGCAGGATCAAAATAGTATTATAGACTTTATATAAAATACTTGAGCTACTAGCAGCAATAAAAAAAATTAAATTTAATCAAGAGAAAAATTCTTGAGTCAAAAAATTATTTTAAAAAATTTTTTCTTGGATCAAGAACGAAAATTCTCGATTAAAAATTTATTAAGTTTTTTTGTGTATTTTTTTTTTATAAGGAAAATTTTAAAATCAAACTCTTAAATAATTTTTTTAGTTTAAAAAATTTTCTTTTGAAAATTAATCTTTTTATTTTTTTTAGAGTAATATAAATCTTTTTTTTTTAAATATTCAACTTTTACAAAAGTATGATGATTAATGTAGTAGCCCCGAGGAGAATATTTTTTCGTAAACCATTCGATCAATCACGTGTTAAAATACTGTTCAAGAATCAATTGTTTGATGTCTATAAAAATTGAATAAATGTGTAATGATGCATTCTTAAAATAATATCAACAAAACAGCATGTGGTTAAATGAATATTGATCCAATTTTTTTCTATAAATCATAAATTATTATACTAGAAAAATTAATATTCGAGACATGTGAAGTACTTTGAAGTATAAAAGTATGAGAATTTAAAAACAATTTTAGAATGTTGACTATTTACAGAAAAATTAATATCACAATACTTGAAAAATTCTCCCGTCTTCATACCAAACATTGTATGGACAAAACAGATAGTTGTGCAATGTGACACGTCGTCAATTATGCTGTAAGGAAGCATATTTTCAAGTTTTATTCTACATAATGCTCCAGATGTAATAACTTTATTTATTTTTACTGGAAGTTATGAACAAAAGATGTTAAACAGCTAGAAGCGAGAAAAATATTAGAGCTCGGAGGTAAAAGTTACTACACATCAATTCAATATTTCAGGGTGCGATATTGCCTCTGGAGTTGTTCACGCGGTTATTCTGAATCATATATAAAATAAAAACTCAACACCAAAAGGTTAAATGTGAAAGTAATCCATATATATTTAAAACGTTTTCCGCTGAAAATTTATATTGCCGCAAGCTACATCAGAATACATATTACATATTTATCAAATTTTGTAAACTATTTCCTAAAGCTTCTCAGATTGTATAAGCTCGCTAAGTTTCGAGTTTAATTGAATAAAACACTTAGTTTTATACAGCAATTTCTACTTAATGCTTCTGTATTTTGTTTTAAGAAAAAATAAAACAATAAAAAAAATTGAATAAATAAGTTTAATAAAGAAAAGTTAAGAGAACAGCAGTACGGTAGGAAAATCACCAGATAATATACTCAATTTTATTTTTTATTGCGTGTAAATAATTTATATATAATAAATTTACACTTGAATAAATTTAAAGTATTTTATGCATAAATTTAAAATTCATGGATTGTTGATTTTTCAATTTTATTTTATTGCAAAATAAAAAGGATTTTCGTCACCTGTAAAAGATAAAACTCCTTCTCACAACTATATTGCGGTCTTTAGAATAAAATTCCTGAAGATGTCATGGACACACGTGAATGAACTTATTATACTCATGAGATATTACTTGTGGTTTAGCGCGTTCAAACAATAATGAAATAAAAAAGAATTAGAGAAGTATGCTCGGAGATATTTAATATTGAGAAAATAAATTATTCTAATTATAGTCCCCACTGGATTAATAAATTCACCGGTTATTAATTATCGTTTTGATGGTTTAACTCCTAACACCGCATTAATCATATTTTTATAGGTCAAAGTTAATAAATGAAGAATCCGATAAAACAATCGCGATAAAAAAAAAATCGCTTAATGATTACCGATTAATAAAAATATTTAGACAGCTGAAAATTAAAAAAATTCACAAGTATTGCACCATATTGATTTTTTTATCTTTTGTTTACTTTGATTCGATTCATTGCGTCCAATCAAGCGTCAAAAATTCTTCAAAATAATTTTTTAAAGAATTTTTGGATGCATTGTTTGAATAACTCCCTTGGCTTATTAAAACGATACAAAAATACATTCATAAGAGTATTATTTTAAAATAACCACCGATATAATATCACTCTGTAAAAAGTAAATAATAAAAAAAAATTTGACATGAATTTATAATGTCTCACGAATATTTAGATTGAGAGAAACATTTACAGTTCCATTTAGCTTGCTATAAATAAAGAGAGTTAAACTTTTTATTTTTTGTCTTTTTAGATTTTTTATTCGTTGTCCAGAATGAATCAGAATAAGTCTGGTGCATGTTCATTAGAATCTCGTTAACCTCTATATATATTTTTATAAATATATCTATACATATACTCGAGTACTTAGTTGGGTTTTATTTGAGCAACGCCTAAATCTAACGCAATCAGTTTTTTTTTCATTTATGAGCAACGCGTGTGTTGAAAATAAATTTCTAATAGCCGATGTGTGAAAGAGAATAATTCTCGTCTCTTTTCTTCTTATCTTATCTCATCTCATCTATTATATTATTATATTCCTTTCTCTTTACATTATTTTCAGGACTCGGGTACTTAACTTGCTAAGTCTCATCTCTTACTCTCGAAAGTTAAGTGACAGAATGTGCGGTAGACACGATGAGTCAACGGAAAAAAGTATCTAAGAAAAGTAAAAAGAATGATACGTCAGGGTTATTTTTTATACATCCGTAAGGTCACTGAATTTTTATTCCTTCATATCAACAAAAACTGATTTATATTCAAGTTATTACATTTTTTAAATAAATAAATATATTAACAATAACTAATAAATAAAAAAAAAAAAATAACTGTCGGGAAATTTTTTCCGTCTTGTATTAATCAGATTTTTGGTTAATAAATTTGTAAGCTTGTGTCAACGCGTGAGAATCAAACGTACATTGTGTTCATGTCGCATTTTAAATTGCTACCTTTAAAAAATTATAAATTCAATTTTATAGTAAAACGTTGTTTATTAATCAATAGTTGATTTACGCTGTGAAATCTAAGAAAAATAATAGCATAATATTGAGTTTAATTTTTTGCATCGGTTTTTTTTAAATTGCATTTAGTTGTAGTTATTTAAGGTCGTCGAACCCGGAAGAATTTACGATACAGGATTCAGGAATAAAGAGTTTAATTTTTATAGTGGTATAATAATTAGTATACATAACGCTTCGAGTTAAGAAAATTATGAGGCCATGGATAACGTGTACTTAGCGCAAAATTCAATGCCTCGAAGGGTTATTTATAATGAATTATTCACCAGTCTGTCAGTTAAGCCGATCTGCTAAATTGAGCAACAATTATATAAAAGGAAATTTGTCAAAATAAAATAATAATTGCTGGTCTCAGATCGTGTTAATTTTTTCTGGGGTATTTTTTTAATAAATTCGAAATAAAGTAATGTATAATTTAAAATCAAAAAAAATTTTATAGAAATTTTACAATTAAAAAATCTGAATCAAGAACAATTTTTAAATTAGAATTTTTTTTGATTCAAGATGATTTATGTTTACGTTTGCAAATAAATCAAATGTTGATTTGAAAAAAAAAAAATTACTGTTATTTAAATGTAAAATCATTTGTTTTAAAAAAAAAGTTCTTGTACTTTCTAATTGCAAAATAAAAAGCAAATTTTTTGAAGCAATGATTAATTGTCTAACGAATATTTTAGCGGGCTACGAATTGCAAATCAATTGTCTAAGACAGTTTGAAATTGGCAAGAAACAAATTAGACAACGATCCCATTCATTAGTGCGTATACAATGATAAATTCAGCAAGTGATTTATGAAAGGATTAATATGGCAATTATGTGTTCAAAGTTGTTGTTACTTTTTTTTTTTACTACAACTCGTGATGACCGCAGCACATTATGTCCGTTGAACTCCTTTCTCAGCTAGTGTATTTGCTGTATACACATTAATTAATTGTAATGCCATGACATAACCGGGATATATTTTTGTCGGTGTTCCTTTTATCTATCTGGCCTCGCTTTTTTAATCTCTGTGATTTATATCTATATATATTGCTAGAAAATAAGTATTATAACTATAATAGGAGAGTAAGCGAGTTATGAAATATATACTTATATTTTTTAGACTTGAATTTTTGATTTTGACCTTGTTTATTTTTTTATATTATTTAGATGGAATTTTTCTTTATTTTTCAGACAGAACAATTTACATTACTATGGTTTCTATTTACTGTAATTGTCGTCGGTAACGTCTCTGTGCTGATGGGTCTACTGTTGGGAAAACGCCGGAAATCACGGATGGATTTTTTTATTAAGCAACTGGCCATCGCTGGTATGTATATGTATGTATGACAATATAATTAGTTATAAATATTTTATATATATAACTAACATATTAATGCAGTACCAAAAAAAACTAACTGAATAAATTATTTTACTGTTAATAAAAAATAAAAAATTTCTTTTGAATTAAAAATTGAGAAAGAATGAAATTTTAATAATCAAAAATTTACCCTTTGAATTTTTGTAAAAAAAAAAACTCGGTGGGATAAAATAAAATATTTCCTTTGTCGGTTACATTGTTAAATGTCAAGCAAATTCCGCGGGATGTGTGAAAATTGTCTAAATAGTTCGGAACTTCTCTGTCGAAATTATTATTTGAAAATTTCAATCATAAATGCCGTACACAAGGTTTTTATTAAAATAATTATACAAGTCGATATTAAATCTTACATCAAACCAATGAAGTTTTGGCTATCTTCGGAAAGTCACTACTGGTCATTGATCACAACAGTAAATACCATCTTATTTAACTTGCATTACTTGTTGACAGTAAATCCACACAGCACAAACTAAATTGAACATGACGTTTATATTGGTATTGGTCCAAGTCGAGTTATTTGACTATCCATTAATATGTCGGGTTTTGAGTTTAGATACAATGTAAGACAAAATAACTAGAGAAATTTTTTTAAATGCTTTAATTAAATAAACTGAAAAAATTGAGGAAGAATAACACTGTTGAAATAATATTTTACAATTTTTCTGTTTTAATTCAAATTGAAAAAAAAAAAAAAAAAAACTCGTATATTGAATGTTACAAAAACATTGTACTTTTAATGTTCACTGGTTCGTTTAGACTATATAACTAAAAATGTAAATTTATTCAAGTTAGCATATTTTTTTGGGTCTACAAACGTTGAAATAAGTATCTAATTATAATAATAAATCAATGAAAAATATAGTAACAATAATATATTATATTACAGTAGCGCTCATGAATATTTTGACAACATTATGCGTTAGTTTTTTTCAACAATGTCAAAATACTTTGAAGCCACCATTTTCCTAATATTTTAAAAATTAAACTTTTTTTTGTTACAAACGAGGACCACTTTGACACTATTCTGTAGATTATTCAAAAGCTGTTGAAAAAATAAATAAATGATTATTGTGTTTCATATTTATTTTTAATTAAACCATTAAATATATTTGTCAAAATACTTTTGAGCGCTACTGTATATTAACAATAATTATTATCAATAATGTCGGGAAGAATATATAAAAAATGCATCAATTTACATAACTGTTTGATTTAAAATTTGCAACATTTATTGAAGCGCAGAGCATTTTTCTTCATTGCAATTCAATTTCAATAATATCCTTGTATGCTTTAATTTCTCCGTATTCTCGAGCTTACATTAAGCCAATAGAATTTAAGCACGGATTTTTCATCGCCTCGTACTCTTTAAATCTATCTATTGAAATATTTATTCAATGCTTTGTTAGATAATCTAACAAAAAAGCTTTGTTAGATTATTGAAAAAAAAAAAAAAACATTTTTTTAAATTTAAAATTCTTTTTCATCTTAAGGCTTTGAAGATTCTTATCAATCATTTAAAAAATAATGAAATATATGTGTATGACGTAACAAAAAAAAATGTAATATCCTGAAAGCTGACGTGATCGATAAAAAAAAAAATGTCCCACTGTGAGCTCTTTTAGCTTAACTAAAAAGCTTCGACAATTTTTCTCTACAGCAAATTTTCCTCTAACGTAATGTATAATAAAGGAATATGCATGTTTTTATATATTGCAGATTTACTCGTCGGTTTAATTTCGGTCCTGACGGATATTGTATGGAGAGTTACGATAATATGGCATGCAGGCAACATCGCCTGCAAGCTCATTAAATTTCTTCAAGTAGTTGTGACGTACAGCTCAACGTATGTATTAGTCGCACTTTCAATAGACAGATATGATGCCATTACTAGGCCGATGAATTTTTCCGGAAGCTGTAAGTACTCTCTATTTTAATATATTTTCATTTTGTACTTGTATTTATCCATCATCTCGTATCTATTTTTAAAATACGCGGAAAACATATTTCATAATGCTTGTGTTCAAACAGAAGACACGCATTCTTTGAAATAAAAATTAAAAATATTATTAATTTCGCTCAAACAAGAGAAGAGATAAAAATATCATTTTTCATATTTTCTGTCTTCTATTTTATACTTTGTTATTATTATTTTTCTTTATTAATTTTTATTTATTCTATTGCATACATTATTTTATGTCAGGGTGGAGAGCCAGAGCTCTTGTTGCAACAGCTTGGGGATTATCTGTGGCATTTAGTATTCCTATTATTTTTCTTTATGAAGAGAAGCTCATCCAGGTAAAAATTATATATACGATGATTAAAAGAGTGAGTTAACAATTAATTTTAATGACTTTTTCATCCTTTCTAATTGAAGGAAAAAAAACAATGTTGGATAGACTTGGGATCACCCGTAAATTGGCAAATTTACATGAGTCTAGTTAGTTTTACATTATTTATAGCGCCTACTATCATTATTTGTGGGTGTTATTTGGTGATAGTGACAACTATCTGGACTCAAAGCAGTGCATTGCGTCAAAGTCCGATGCGGGACGACAGACGAGCTTCGTCCAGGGGATTAATACCGCGCGCTAAAATAAAAAGCGTTAAAATGACATTCGTTATTGTTTTTGGTGAGTAGTTTTAAGATTCGAATAAATTATTTTTGTTGCTTATAATGGAAAATAAATATTTATTTCAATTTATATTAAATAATATTTGCTTTAAATTCAATTTTCCGACGATTTCATTTTTATGTGTATTTTTTTTTGCATGTAAATTGAGTTGATAAATATTACTCGTATTCAATTTATCAAAATAATCACAGTAGAGAGAAAAATTTTATGTAAATAACAGAATAAATATTGGTTAATTTTTATTTTTTGTATAATTAATAAGCTTAGTAAAACATGAATTGTCATTAATAAATATAAATATTTAAATCATAAAATGAAAATATTAAAAGAAGATAAAAACATTTTATTTTTTAGTGTTGATTTGATAATAATAATTATTATTATTTATTAAAAGAAATTTTGTTATTTTTATTATTATTTGTTGAATTTTATAAAATATTTTATATGCATTCGGAAAACTGAGTAATGCTTTGGCGTAAAAATTGAACTCTAATAATAATAATTCAAGCATATCAATTTCAATGAATTTTTATGAATGAAATAATTTATACCCTTGTGATTAATTTTTACAAAAGAAACTTCTCTATGACTACGAATAAATTTCAACAATAAATAAAAATAAAAGAGATTTTTTTATAAAATTGATAAATTAGTTTCATTATATTACAGTTTTTGTTCTCTGTTGGAGTCCATATATCGTATTTGATTTACTTCAAGTATATGGCTACGTACCGAAAACACAGACAAACATTGCGGTTGCAACATTCATTCAAAGTCTAGCCCCGCTAAATTCAGCAGCAAATCCAATCATATACTGTCTTTTCAGCACACCATTTTGCAAGAACGTACGGTGAGATCCTTTACATTGAATTATAGATTTCTGTAGGTGTATAATTAATGATTCATACTTGATGTTAATTCAACAGCTATATAAATAACTCTTACTGTCATTCATAATTCATGATATATAAGATGAATTTGAATGCTTCTATAAATAACTATTTACTCCAGTTCCTTAATATTATTACTTTAAACACATCCCTTTGATGTTTCATTGAAAGAGTAGATTATTATCTTCTACCCCTTTGAAGTATGATAGTAAATCAGTTAATAAAAAAATCCATTAAAAAAAAAGTCTTTAAAATCTTAATAACTTTCAACCGGTGCCTTATATTCTCTGGATTTTTAAAAATCACAATCAAAACTCTATTTTTAGTTTTTTCCAGGATTAAAAAGTAATATTTGTTTTACCATCACCGAGATGGTTATAAATTTAGTACTGAGATGAACTCACGTGTTAAAGTACAGAGATCGTCATTATTCATTATAGCTTACGAGTTAACGTAATTGGAGTTTTGTTTATTTAAATTTCGTTTTGCCCTTCATGTAAAACTTATCCAATATCCCGACAAACATCCGTTCGAGTGTTGATTTTGAACTTGCGTTCAGAAGTTTGTTCAGAAATGTAATTTAAATTACATTTAAATAGATTATAATATCAGAGTACCTACTTTAAATTCATGTCATAAAAAAAATATATTATTTTTCTTCCTAAATTAATGGAAAAAAAATTCGGTAAGTAGATGAGCTAATGATTAATGTAAAATATGTATTAATTTTTTTTATTAAAAGGAGTTTTTTTTATATTATATTAACTAGAAAGATCTATAGAAAAAAAATATATAAATTGATCTCTTATTTTTTAATTAAAAAAAAAATAAATAAAAAAAAAAAATGTTTAGTATTTAATATATTTTTTTTAAATGTGTAAAGAATGTAAAAGTAAATTAAAATGAAATTTTCTAAAAATTTTTGTTCCACCTAACGGTAGAAACATGCAGGCGATTTCCTGGGTTTCGGGACGGTGCTGTACGTGTTCACATAATTGCTTTAGCGCCAGTAATATTCGGAGGAGAGCAACGAGAACGACGACGGTTACAACATCGTTGACTGCTCATTCGTCAAGAAGAAGCGGGCATATTCCTATACTGCATACCGCATCCAAAAAACATGTAATGGTATCGTTTGTTTAAAATAATAATATTAAAATAATCTTAAAGTTGGACTAAATTAACTTTCATTAAACGTGTAAAAAAAAATTGTAATATTTAAACTTACGTGTCATTAAAAAATAAATGCGTGATAATTTTAATTTTTTTTTTAATTTATAACTTATAACAAAAGTCAATGTGATAATATGAATAAATTTATAATATTATTCAATTCAATATTAAATAATTGATTAAATATATATTATAGTTGAATAAATACAATAGTCTAATGAAAAACTGGTGCAAAAATTGTATTCTATTGAATTTTATGAAATTTATTATAAAGAATGGATAAATTTATACTGAGAAAAAAAAATTTTGAATCAAAAAATCATTTTTAAAAATTTATTTGTTTTTAATCAAGCTGAAATATTTTAAAATTAAATTAAATTCACTGAAATCAAATTTTTTGCTTGATTTAAAATAATCAAAATCTTTAAAATGATCTTGCGGTTCAAAATTTAATAATTAATTTAATAATTAAATTTAATAATCAAATTAATTTTACTATCAGTGAATATGAGTTTTTTTTTTCATAAGAAAAATCTAAAAACAACGAGACTTTAAAATACTTAATTGTTGTACCTATAATTGCATTTTTGATAATACATAATATTACTATCAGTATTTTTAAATTTACTTTGTACAGGATTGTTTAGTTTACTACAAGTACAAAACAAATAACAGTTATAATCAAAATATAATGTGGAAAAGTAATACGCTCAAAGTATACGTGTAAATAATATAAATAACTTGTGTCATATTAAAGGGCTTCTTATAATTAAAATACAATTAACAAAATAGCTGACTAGTATTTATTGTAAAATGATAAATATATATATTAATCAATACTTGGCAGCTAATTTAGAAATAAAAAAAATTTAGTTATTAAAACACATTCAAATGTGTTATTTATTGCATGATAAACTGTTATAATAATATTTATATTAATATTGATTTATAGTTAAAAGGCATTATTTGTTATTCATCTGTATATTAAAATGTATGTAAATTTAAGGATATTTAGTATAGATATTTGTTATGTACCTGGAGATATTTAAATAATTATTTTAAAAAAATATTTCTATGTTTAATTTTCATTTATGTATAAATAAAAGTGAATAAGAAAGATTATCATTTTATTTTTTCATTAAGTTCAATCATTTAGTTCATGAGAAAAATTGGATCAAAAGATTGAGGGTTCTTTCTTGTGGCTAATTTCTTTTGACGAAACATCAAAGTTAAGGAAACTTTTAAGAGTTATACCGCAGGAAAGTCTGCCAAGGATTTTTATAAGCTTTGGATTTTGTTGAAATAATTTTCTTGTGGTTTTATCAGCAATTAAGATGTTTGGTATCAAATCGGATTTTCAATAATCACACAAGTGGGGGAGAAAATACTTGCGGAAATAGTTCAAATTATTCATATTGTTTGTCGATGACCTGTAATTCCGAAGATCATAATTATGATTGCATAAAATTGTTTGATAAAGTTTGTAAAGCTTTTGATAGTAATTAGAGTTTAATTATTAACCTGTCGTTACCTTCTATAACTTAATAAGTTTTTTTGGCGTTAAAATTTTTGTCAAAGCTCAAAGAAATTCTAACACTGACGAAAACACGCATAGCGACTGCTAATTACTTACAAACAAATGAAAGTTGTCGATGACAGCTCTGTCGTGGTAAAATTAATTTAAAAAACAATAATTAAATTCACTAGTAGGTTATGCAATTTAAAAACTTGCAATTGGGTATAGAAAAAAAATCTAAAAATAAAATACTAATATAATAAGTAATAATTTATGCATTTGATTTTAAATCACGGAGGAGTGTTGTAAAAATGAGATAGAAATATTTTTATACTAAAATAAAATATATTTTTACACGATTTTTATTTTTTCATTGAGAAAATTGAGAGAACGTGGCAATGTCAGATACTGCCCGATTAACTCAAAGCACAAATTCACACAGTTCCCGTGCTATCGATAGCATTTCAACAGGTTAGTTTATATTAGTTTGGTAACTTTTTTTTCTTTCATACTTTTTTATCCTTTACTTTGACACGAAAAAAGTGTAACTTACACGTGTTGGATAAAAAAAACGAAAGAAGAAAAAAAAGTAAAAGAAAATTACCACTTCAGGTAAAACAAAAATCCCAACTTACTTTTTTATATCCAACTCTCGTTTATTTTGATACTTTTTTTCTTTAAACTAATAATGCCAAAAGTCTGTTACAATAATAAAAATTTTTTTAAATTACTTTTTGTCTCAGCAATACTTTGTTTTATTAAATTTTATTTAATAGTTTTGATTATTTTATTTTTAAATTAAAGTATATTTATTTTTTTTTTAGATCAAAAGCCTAATAATTTAATAATTGACGGTAGTAATGTTGAATTTAAAAAAATATTAGATGAAGATAAAATGAAAGTAATGCAAAAACGAGTTATTGGATTATTTAATGAGAATGTTCTTTTGAAGGAGCAGTAAGTAGTAGGTAGTGACTTATTCATAGAACAGTAAATCAATTTAAATATATAATGTTGTTAACAATGTAGAGTATTTCAAGAATCACGTAAAGTAAAGGAGCTCGAAGAAAAATTTTTTGCTATAAACTCGAATTTTTTCAATAAAAATAAAAATATTCAAGTAATGTTATAATTTTTTAAATATTTTTTGCTTACTTAAATTATTAATTACCGATGTTTTACTAATAGAATGAAAATAAAATAAAAATAACAAAAAATTCTGAGGATTTAGAAAAAGAAAAAAAGGTAAACTGTATTCCTTGGACATTTTGCAAATACTGTATAAAAAAACTCCCAAAATTAAATCCATCTGAGTCCTTTGTTTTAATAACGAGGTGAGTTATTTTAAATTCTATCCTTTGTATAATCCAAATTTAATTACGCCAATACTAGCTTATACTGTTCTAAGCTAAACACGTGGGTGCAGACTTAACTTGAATTGTTAATTAGCTTAAACTTTTGAAATGTTAAATGGCAGAACCGAGTTAACATCAATGGAACAAAAATTGCGTAAGCTGAAAGAGGAGCTAACTTTGAAGGAACGAACGTGGGATGACTTTTGTGAGCGCGAAAAAAATTATTGTTTGCAACTCACCCGTTTTGCTCAGGAAATAGCTACTGTCAATCAGTTGGCTGACAATCGATTGCAGGATCTTCTTACAATGGCCCGAATGCTTCAAGTACTTGCAATTTTTATCTAAAAAAATTCAAACATATATTTAATTAATTTTTTTTTCTTAATTTAAGAACCGAGAAGATGAGTTAAAAAATGCACAGAAAGAAATTATGAGCATTAAAAAAATAATTGTTAAGCAGGAAAAACGTCACAGGTAAATTCGTTTTAATTACATGTCTAAATTAGAAAAGATTGAAATTAAATTACTGAGTAATCTTGTTTTCATTTGCTATGAAAGAGAAATTATAATAAATTTAGTTGTGAAAATAAAATTAGCAGATAGTTGACAATTTTCAGAATTTTTATTAATAAAATTATTAGAAAAAGATTAAAAAAAAAAATTCACTTGTAAAAAATTTGAAAAACTATACGTGCAATTTTTTAAAAATATTTTTTTATTGCTAATTCAATTAATAAAAAAAAAATAAAAATTTTTCGCTGTCGGCTAATTTTAGTTATAATTTTTAATTTCTTTTTCATTTATTAATTACTAAAAAATATTTGAAAAAAATTGCACTTATAGTTTTTCAAGTTTTGTACAAATGAAAATTTTTTTTTATTTTTTTTTTATACTTTTTTCAATAAAAAAAAAATTTTTTTAATTTTTAAATGTCGGCTAACTTAATTTTCATATTTTAGTATCATAATTTGGTTTCATTTACAAATTATTCATGATTTTTAATAGAGCACTTGAAGATGGTGACCCGTATAAAAAAACTTCGGTAGAAATTAATGAAAAAGAGCGAGAGTGCATCAACACAATAATACGTCAGTTATCAAGGCCCCGGAAACAAAAGACAAAGACTAGTACTCAAATGAGAAATCCTAATAACGGAAATAATAAAAGCACAAGCAAAGAAATTAGTTCAACTAAAACAAGTTTCGACTAATAAAGTATTCAGAGTAGAGGTTGAATTTTGTTGAACAGAAATGTCAAGTCAAAGAGAAACTGATAGTAAACACAGTAAACACAACAGAACAAAATTCTAAATACATAAAACATATTACCAAAAGTTATTCCAACGTTGTCATTATTAAATTTATCATACATTTAGTGGTTTTGCATAAATTATTTTAATTGCAGAATTATACGGACGAAACAATTATCACATTATACGCTTGTGTAAATTATTAATTTTAACTAGCAATTTAATTGTTCAAAGTATTTGCAATTTAGCCGACATGTATGCTTTCGGGATATTTGTCTGAGGGTGGGCTAAACAACTAATTACATAATTCGTACAAGACTTGGATGTATAAGCGTTAAGTTACTTATGTGTTACAGAAACTCATTAAAACTTTCAATATTGTAAATTTAGTTTCTCGTCACATTACATGTACTAATTAGATGACATTAAAGTTAGCAGTCACTTCAAAATTTTTTAATTTTATTCAACAAAAAAATTTGTTCCAAAAAATTATTTTTAAAAAATTGCATTTTTTTTTTTTTTAAATTTCTACATGTCAATTTTTTTTCTAATTTATTTGTTATGCAATTTTTAAAATTTTTTAATTTATGCTAAATTAATTTTCATACTAATTAGCGGTATGTATAAATATCACATCCTACTAATAACGATAATATACAGTTAATTTTATGCATGTCAAAATACTCGTGGGTTTTCATTCCTGATAACGCAAACTCACTTTGTTTTTATTTATTTAGTCGTAATAAAAATATACGCGGGAAAGGAAAACTTTATCGCGTCGCCATTTTGAATGCCGGTTGACACAATTTTACTGCGCAAATAAAAATTATTATGGTTGGCTGTTTAATTTTTTAATTCTATTTAAATAACTCGTCTCTCTGTTCCGAACAATTGTTGCCGTGTGTTATGATTAATTACTGTTTACATGGAAAAATATTGAGAGTTAAACAAAACACAATTAAGTTACGCGTGACAGGCATATTTTACTTACAGCGCCATCTTTAGTTGTGTGAAAGAAATATTTACCGCGAATTTGAGTAAAAAAAGTGGGGATAGCGCGGAGCGCATGCGCACAAGAAAAGTTGTCAAGATGTCTGCAGTGCCGACGCAGCAGCAAATCAAGTGAAACATGAACCCACTGGCGGCAGTAGAATTCTATCAACTGTTTTTAGTTCAGGAAGGAAATGATTAATAGAATATGTTTTAGATTTTAATTGTTCTGATTGTTTTTATGAGTGTAGTGTAAGTTCCTGATCGAAGAAAATTGATGAAAAAGCAACCTGGATCTTCGTAATATTTCTCCGGTCAAGGTTTGTGGGACTTGTCATTTTTTTATGCAATGTTTTCTAGTTGATAAGTTCTTAAATTTTCTTGAAAAATAATTTTCAACTCAAATTTTTATATTTTATAAATCAAATTAAATTATGATGGGTATAATCATAAGAATTAGATCCATATAAATTTAATCAATTATTATTAGAGTGCTTTTTTCACGATTTCTTCATTAGTGCAAAAAACATGACATTAAAGTTAGCAGTTACGACTATTTTTTAATTTTTCTTAACAAATAAATTTGATTCAAAAAATTATTTAAAAAATTGGATTTTTAATTTTTTAAAATTTCTACATGTCAATTTTTTTTTGTCATAATTTATTTGTTACGAAAATTTTTAAAATTATCAAATATCTGCTAAATTAATTTTCATGCAAAAAACGCTGTCAGGTTCATGAGTATAAAATTAAGACAACTAATTTTTTAAAATTATCAACTAATCAACAATTTAATGATTAAAAAAAAATTTTTTAACATCATTTTTGCAATAGGTAAATTATTAATAAATTTTCGAAAAATTTGACGGACATCTGATCTTGTCAGGCCAATAAATTTTTGAATTTCTTTAAACATATTTTTCTTCTATAAAAAAACATTCCACCTTTTATTTAAAAAAAACAAACTATCTAAACAAATAAAAAGTTTATGAGTTTCCAAGTCTTTCAAACACAATTGGTTGAACTCAAAAATGTATTTCAATCTCACCTGATTGTATGCTAGGACACAAAAATTAATACAATACATTCTTGTTCGTCAATTTGATCCCTTTCCCGTTGGATTTAATTCAAATATCACTTGAGCTAGTGCCAAGCAGAAACGCATGCGTTTTTCCAAACATAACAAAATTCGCAAGTCTCCCCGAAGCAGCTTCAATCGATATGCAATTGCGAATTAAACAGAGCAAGCGCATAGGTACACCAGAATCCACTTACCTCTATCCGTTCTCAGTTGACATCAACCCTCTAAAAATAACCAATCAGTTCAATAACCAGTGGTGATTTAAATAAATTACTCACATATCCCCAAGTGTTGTATCAACTTCTTGGCAACGAAATGTCAAGCAACAAGTGCGTTAAAGCCCCGAGGAAGGCTTACACGAAAGAGCCTCAGGACATGAGCCACCAAGAGAAGTTGCGGCTCATTGACGATGAACTAAATTCATTTTACAGGTTAGCAACTCATTAATTTTTTTTTAAATTGCACTATTTTATCAAACAAAATTTATGTAGATATTGCCAACAAGCCGGATTTACCGAGGAAGAGATGGATATAATTTGCCAACCCCTTGTCGCAGCTATGCGTCGCTCCTGGCTCCAATTGGTTCTTCGAGCGACTGTAATTCTGGTAGTAATTGGTACCATCACTTGTGCTGCTATTCAGCTGGACTTTGTTGGAACCCACTTCTCAGCTTTGTCGCGTTTGTTGGCTGTAAAAATTTTGCCTTTTTGGAACTGGCAGCATCTCTACCGCGAGAACTGTATGATGAATAACCCGTTCTACACCGAGTACCCCATCGCCGAGGTTGATTGCGTCGTAAGCTATAGAGTAATTTAAATATCATAATACAATATTACACTGAAAAAATCATTCTAAAAGAATGAAAAAATTAATTTTAGACTTGCGAGTCTGTTGAAACGATTGACCGTCTGTCTGATGTTCGTTATCGTCAACTGGTCGACAATTATTTGAGCCGAGATGCTCCGGCAATCATCACCGACGCGATGGACACCTGGGCTGCTATAAATACCGATTATTTCTGGTTTGATAATATCACGCATGTAATTATCTGCTACCTGATCTTGTCATTCAGAATTGTAAATTTAAAATGATAACTGGATTATTAATAGCTGTACTTAGGGAACGAACGTCTTATGGAAACGGTACCCTGCTCACTTACATCGAATCTCAGGACCGGTTCCTCGGATCTTGCGGCATTTCTTCGGCGTGTTCATTCACCCGAGGTAGCCAAATGGTTCGTTCACTGGCAGAACTGCGATATTAATGCTGTCAAAGCTCTCAGAAAGTATTATCAACGGCCGTACTTCCTGTCAAGTACCGTGTCTCCAGCACACTTCAATTGGGTTTTGATGTCCTCGGATTATAACAGTCCGAGTTATAAGAGAGTTGAACTGGATTCTGGTCTCATTGCACTTGCTCAGCTTCGGGGAGCCACTCAGTTACGACTTACGCCTATAAACCCCTGTAACAGTTCTTGTCCAGAGCTTATTGCCGATCTGCATCGAGGCGAAATGCGTTAGTATTTTAAATACTATTGTTAATATTTTTCTTTATCCTAAGACTAATTTATACACAGAAAAAAAAGTTCACTTGAGCCAAGAAAATATTTTTCTTCCTAATTATTTTCTTGAGCGAAAAAAAAATTTTTTTTTGGCAAAAAATTTCACTTATTCAAACTAAATTAATTCTCTTGCTTTAAAAAGTACGTATCTTGATCCAAGAAAATTTATTTAAGTCAATAAAATCTTGTTTTTTTGAGAAAATTCAGCCTCTTGCTCCAAAAAATTTAGTTCTTGATAGAAGTAAATTTTCTTGTCTTGAGAAAATTTCTCTCTTGCTCCAAAAAATTAAATATAAAGATAGAAGTGAATTTTCATTAATATTTTTATTGATTAACATGTCAAATGGGAAGATCAAATAATTGCAAGCTAAAATAATATAAAATGGGTATCAAATATTCAAGAGAAAAATTTTCTCAAGGTGAGAAAATTTTTTTCTCATGAAATAGATGGCACTGCTTCCCTAAAGTATCTAAAAATCTAAAGATCAAATATAAAAATTTATTGTACCAAGTATTTATGATAATTTGAATTAAGAAAAAATTACTTCCACCAAGAATAAAATTTCAAGAAAAATTTTTACTTCGACCAACACAACTTCGGTCTTCTTTCAGGCACCCGACAAATTTTCTTGAGCCAAGAATTCTGTTCTCTAGTCAAGAAATTTTTCTTTCTGTGTATAATACTTTTCTTAGATTTTTTCAGTTAATTGGCTGTCCAGTCTAATGCAACAATTTTTTCTCCAATTTTTACTTAATATCCAAGAATAAAATTTCAAGAAAAATTTTTACTTCGACCAACACAACTTCGGTCTTCTTTCAGGCACCCGACAAATTTTCTTGAGCCAAGAATTCTGTTCTCTAGTCAAGAAATTTTTCTTTCTGTGTATAATACTTTTCTTAGATTTTTTCAGTTAATTGGCTGTCCAGTCTAATGCAACAATTTTTTCTCCAATTTTTACTTAATATTGTTTATGCTTGGAAGGAAATACAGGCTGACAATATTAAGTAAAAATTGGAGAAAAAATTGTTGCTTTAGACTCGACAGCCAATTAACTGACAAAAATCTAAAAAAACTATTATTAATATTATTAATACTTAATATTTATTTAATAAATATTATTTTGTCACAGTTGTATTCACAAACTTGATGTGGAACCTGGAATACGCACCGATGAGAGGGCTAGATAACATAGCGATCCTCACGGAAACAGTCTGGGACGAGGATCCATAAATATTTGAACTTACCTATCAATGAAAGTCTTAAAAAGTAACTAATTGATTAATTAAATGAAGCATTGACGCTCTTAAAGACAAGTATTTAATCTACAGCGTAATTATTAAAAAATAAACGCTAATTACTCAACAGTAAAATCTCTTTATTGCACTACCGGACTCCCGTAAAATAGATAAAATAATTTATTTAAAAAAAGTATCAGAAGTAACAAGAAATAAAATTCGTTCTTTTTTTATTAATTATTTTTTTTTTTATAATAACATTTTATTTATTATTTATCGACTTTCACACTCGCATTCTCTCACTTCATCATCCTCTCCACAAGTTCAATTATTTTTTAAAACTTTTATTTGAATTTATCTAACCGCGAATCATCACGCGGTTCATAGAAAAACGAAGCGTAAGAGATTTCAGCGTCGTAATTTTCATTCATATTTTTTTTAGCATTATGTATATCATTATTATTATTTTTTTTTCTTTTTATAATAATATTATTTATTATACATATATTTATATATTTTTTTGGGTAATTTGGCATAAATCGACGCAATATACATGTATTAAAAGATGTATGTTTACGCAATGGATATATTTATAATAATTCATCTTTATATGTATACTTATCGATTGCACTACGTCCATTTTAATTTAATATATTATATACTTTTTTTTTTTAATTTTCATATCACTCGTGGTTACTTCGCGTTTAGTTTTTAGTGTCAATATACGGAAGATGAAGTAACGGCTTTAAATAAAATTCTATCTCTCATTAAAGACTCGATTAAAAATAATAATTCTTAATTAAAAAAAATATATATAACATAAATTTCTTGATAAAAGGATCGGGATTTAATACATATATTTTACGATTTTTACTTTTGTTTTTTAATAATCAAAGAGTCTTATGCGCGAAGAATATACATAAAGATTATAATTAAATAAATAATTATACATAATTAATAAATTTAAGGAATTTTTAAAATCAAGGATTTACAAAATTTAAACTCATATAGATTACACTTAGCATACTTAGTATTCTTTTTGTCAGTTAATAAATAGTCAATGTTTAGTAATTAGCATCAACAGACTTTTATAATAATTCTGCCGTAGGTACGTAGTACGCGTAACAATAACAACAACAACAATTATTGGTGATCAACGAGCAAAGAGAAAACATGATTTAATTTATTTTTTTTTCAAGTTTATTTTTTTGTTGTAATATATATACGTTTTAAATGTTTTTTTTTATCTCATTTTAATTTTTAAAAGAGCGGTAGCATTCAATTATCAACGGACAAAGAGGACAAAATGTACGAATTATTTATTTAATTAATTATTTGTTTAGTTTAATTTTCATCGAAAAAATTGAAAATTATCCTTATTGTTTCTTGCACGAGTCGTATAACTGTTAGATTATTATTGTCTAACGTAATTCCTAATAAGATGAATAATGTCGGACCATTTAAATAACAGCTAGGTTTTTTTTTTTATTTTTAATTAATTCATTCTTTCGTTCATGAGTTAGTTTTTTCCTAAGAGATTATCCAAGTGGTTTTTGCGCATTGTTTTTTACAAATGCGAATCTAATGAGAATGAAGATGCATACGCTAATGCCTCACCCCTCTTATACTTCTCATCAAGCAGTTAAGTGCAGAGTAAGCCAATTCATACGTAGTATCAACACTAAAAACATATTTTATAACATCAATAATAATAGTAATAATTAATAATTATTATTTCTCTAGCACCAAGAAAATCGGAGAGGATGATTTTTAATTAACTATTTAAATATCTAGTCTCTCCCTCATTTTCACTTTCATTTTCTCAAGAATCTTGATCATTTTAATTTTATTCGCGTTTTATTTGATATGTAGCCGAGGCTGCTATGATAATTTATGCATAAAAATAATAAATATCAAGAGTTTTATAGTTTGGAAATAATTATTAGATTATTTTTTTTTAAGATCAAGCGTTTGCAGAATTTATTGATAAATTTATTACTATAATAATAATTATTATTATTTATCATTAGTATTAATATTATTATTATTATTCTTGATATTTAATGCAACAATTAAATATATACTAGACTATCATAGTCGCCTTAATAATTAATTGTTCCATTATTTATTATAATTTTATTATTTTTCACATACGATGAAAAATTTAAATGATCAGGTGTACAAATTATTATTTTTCACTCCAGGCTCGGCTCGTTCATTTTATTTTATTTATTTATTCTTTTTTACTACCTGTCAGTCTCTTTGGACAATCGTTTTTTAGATTGAGTTTAAATCCCAATCTCAAGAGAACATTTTATTTATAATAATAGTCCATCAATATTCTCTTTGAATTTGTTTTCCTAAATTTTAAAATTTATTATTTAATATACCGCTATTTATATTTCAAATGGCACGTACAACGTTACGTATTGGTTTTAATTATTTGATAAAGAAAAAATTCATATTTATATTCATTCGCCATTATTACAATAATAATAATCATTTATAATTATTATTTTAATATTATGATAACGTTTTTTATTTTATTAATAAATAAAATTTTGGGCAAACATCAAAACGCGATATTTAATACAATATTGTAATGATAATAATAATCATAATAATAATAAATACATAAAGGATCGATGAATTGTCAAGAGCTATTACAGTCGTAATTTGCGATTAAATTTATCGGTTTTTTTTTTCTAACAGTTATTACATTTTTAAATGATTAACTTACATTAGATTTTTTATTAAACTATTCACTCATTCATATTCAAATAATTCATTTAAATGCAACGAGTAAATTCTCATATATTTATATATTTATAGCATACCACCCATTATATATTCACTATCGCTCATCCTCACAGTAACAATTATTAGACCAGACTGTCATTTATAATAAATAACTAATAATTAATAAATTTTATTGTTAATTAAAGTAACTCGTCATTTTTTTTTTTTTAATCAACATTTCTCTGGCGAAAGAAAAATAAAGATCGGATACTTTGTACAAAATACGATACAAGTAGCAACAATTTCCAATAGTTAAATATAATATGTATATGTATTATTTATAATATGTATATTATTTATATAATAATAATAATAATTTACTTTATTTAATAATATAATTTTTCATTACTGCATTTACGCGTGTATAACCGATTTCTCACGATCGTTCTCGCTCTTGATTAAAATTAATACTTTTCAACTAATATATATATATATATATATATGTATATATTTATAATAACATCAATTAATATTAATATCTATTTAAATATAAATAATTGCAAATTATTCCATGCACCTAAGTCTAGCAAATTTAATTATTTTATAATTAAAAAATTAACAAGTCGAGAATTCGGAAACGATCGTTGCACAGTCTATTAATTAATAAATATAATAACATTAAAAAAAAAATAGGACCCCCGAAAAAAAAAAAAATTACAATTTATGATATTTAAAAATAATAATTATATGTATCGAGGGGGTGAGTTTGAACGCACGCCACCACCTTAATTTTTTATTACATTATCTTTATTATTATCATTATTTTTCTTATTTATAATATATTACCGTTATTATTATTAAGTAGTTGTGATCACTTTAATAAATAATTATTGATTATGATTATAAATTATAAATAATAAATTTATCAATTTTTAGAGATATGATTATTGTTTTGTGTTAAGGGTGAGGCATTTCAAGGCACACCCGCCTCTCGTTAACTCGCTCTACAATAAATAATCTACTATTCTTACATCGTCATTATCATTGTCATAATCATAATAATTAATAAATAATAAAATCTTTCATCATAACTACTCGATAAATATTCTAATTTAAATATTTTAGGTGGCAGCTTCGTCCTCTCGCGTGTCTAGAATTAATTCTTGTGCGCGATTTGTCTCTCTTTAAAGCATCTTACATCGTCATTTATTTTATTTAATAATTACAATAATAATTATCTAATAGAGTAATAAAAAATAATTAAACACAGTCATTGTCTCAGTGAAAATATCGAGCTCTTAAGAGCGTAATATCTACACAGAGATAAACAAGGTAACAAAAAAGAGCTGAATAGAGTTTAAGAAGACTTAACTCCTCTCAAGTACCAACAAAAGTCACTTTAAGTAGTAAATAACAACTCAAGTTATTGTGAGAGGTTGTTCTTAATTTACCATTTCTTATCTACAGCGACATCCTTCTGTCCTTTTCTTAATATTATATTAATATAATATAGTCGCTATTTTCATCTCTAAAAATTTCTTCTTTTTTTCTCATATTTATATTAATATTAATATTAATATAAGTCAGACTTTCTAATTAACCAAAATACAAGAAACACATTTTAATCGATAAAACGCGGTTTCGGCGACGACTGCTTTCGACAGCAACAACAATCGCATATTACATATTATACAACAATACACGTACAATAGATACATTATTATTATATTTTTTTTATAATTGTTCACAAAGCAGCAAGATCAACAGCAGCATTTATCATAACCAATTTAACATATTTATAATAGCTCAAATATTTATCTTTAATAAATACACCAAGATCAACAATCAGGACTCAATATGTCCTTATTTTTTTATTATTAAGGCGGTATTCTAGTTTAGAAGCATGAATTTCAGGTAATTTTTTGAAGTGCCGTAAAAGAAAGGCAATCAATATTTTTGTTATACATTTTTTTATTTATTTATTTAAATAAATAAATTTATTTAAATTTTATTTTTATTTTAAATTTATTTAAATAAATAAATAAATTTTTTTATAAGTTATTTATTAACATTACAAGAATACCGAAAAAAATCAACTAAGGAAAAGTTGAAAAAAATTTTTTTCACAAAATAGCGACTGCTTGAAAGAAAAAAATTTTTTTTACTACTTTTTATGACTTTTTCAAATTTTTTAAAAATAGTAAAAATTGAAATTTTTTGAATTTTCAACTTTTAAAAATTTTTTTCTGTATTCTTGTAATGTTAATAAATAACTTATAAAAAAATATATAATAAAAACATTGATTGCCTTTTTTTTACGGCACTTCAAAAAATTACCTAAAATTCATGTTTCTAAACTAGAATACCCCTTTAATTATTATCAATAATCTATTACAAGTCGTTGACCTCACTCGATAACAAATAACCAAACGTTCCAATCAGTAATATTGGAACGATACTAAAACCATTGTCACGAAACATCGTTTGTCTCAATGACCAGTCGATTGCTTATTTTATCACGTTCTTCATTTCTCCAAGACACCTTCTTCTTCATTGCTATCATCATCATCATCATCATCTTCTTCTTCTTCCTAGTTAGTATTGGTACGTTCATGATGATCAAGACAATGACAACGAAGAGTGGATTGTTGAAATTAACATCGACTCACTTTCCCAGTCCGAATTTCATGAATATAAGCTCTTTACCCTTGGACAGGATGTCTCCTCCAGCACTGGCTCCAGCCATTTCAGTGAACTTCTGCATGAGATTGGGCCCGGTGCTCTGGGGTTGCTGCTGTTGCTGCTGCTGATCCATAGGCTTTTGGACGTTAGGAATCACCGCAGGGATTCCCCGCATGTTTTTGGCTGCCTGAGGCCCTTGCATTGAGGGACCTTGGTTCTGCTGCTGGTACTGCTGCTGTCCTTGCTGTTGCTGGGGTTGCTGGTAGTTTTGCTGTTGGTTGTAGCCTTGCTGCTGAGGCTGTTGTTGCTGCTGGTAGTTCGGGTTCTGCTGATTGTATCCTTGCTGGTTAGGTTGTTGCTGTTGTTGTTGCTGCTGCTGGTAGTCTTGCTGCTGCTGGAACTGCTGACCCTGCTGGAGACCTCCGGGCATGTTACTACCACCGCCCCGGTTGGCCGCGTTTCTCCCCCTCCCCTGTAAATTATCAAAAATGAGTTTTGCGGGTTCTTTTTTGTAGATTTCTTCCTAACGTGCTGAGAATAAAAGTCTTTTATTATTTGCTTTTTTTTTTTTAAATATTCAATTTGATATATATTTGCTGGTTAGTCTATTTTTTAATTGTTAATTGCTCAAATAGTGTGTTTACTTATACTGATAATGTTTTTTTTATTGTGTGTGAGCATGTGTAAGTGAGTTGGCTAACTCAAAGCAAAAATTATGTCGTTCAGCAGACGATTAAGTTGTACACATTTAGATATTTTAAAGTACCGTCAAGGTTTACGCAAAGTTTAAGGAGGTATTCTGGTCTGAATGCTTGAATTTTAGGTAATCTATATTATTAAGAGAATAAACAAAATTTTGTGGCCAGTATAATTAAGAAATGACCTTGTATCTCGTGAACTATTTACATTTTTAAAGATATAAGCTCACCCTGACATTACACTCGTCGAGACCTTTCATTTGAGTACCCACATCAATTTTTCATATATTTTATATATTATATATATTTTACAAATACCATATATATAAAATATATAAAAAATGCCATGTGGGTACTCAAATAAAAGGTCTCGATTAGTGTAACATCGGGACGAGCTTATATCTTTAAAAATGTCAATAACTAAGAAATGATCTTGTATCTTGTGAACTATTGACATTTCTAAAGATATAAACTCATCCCGACATTACACTCATCGAGACCTTTTATTTGAGTACCCACATCAATTTTTCATATATTTATATATATGTATATATGAAAAATATATGAAAATGCATGTGGGTACTTAAATGAAAGGTCTTGATGAGTGTAACATCGGGATGAGCTTATATCTTTAAAAACGTCAACAGTTAAAAAAGTACAGTGCAATTTAACAAAAGTCATTATTTAATAAAGCAAAATTTTATTAATTTATAGTTCACAAGTCACGGCAGTCGCATAGTGAATGCAAGGTTGCTAGTTTTTTAAGTGCCGCAAAAAAAGGCAATCAATATTTTCACTATTCATTTTTTATACGATATTTATTAAAAGTCAAGAATACAGAAAAAAAATAATAAAAAAAATTCAAAATTCGAAAAGTTATCAGCTAAAAGCCTATAAAGAAGACTTACACCAAATTTCAAGTAATTCGGTTCAGTAGAACTTGAGAAATCGTGGGTATCGTTTGGAAAAAGACAGTTTCAAGACAAACGCGTTTAAAGTTTCGTGAAGATAATTTGAATTTCCTTAAATCATTTTAAAGAAATATTTTTAAAGGGTTAAGCTTTTAAAATATGAAAAAAACAATTTTTTTTGATTTATAGACCAGAATACCCCTGTTTAAATAGCGTTTTAGTATAAATCGATGCAGAATACAGCCTGGAAAATCTAAATCTTAAATTTAAAGAGTTTCTTTTTAATGAATCACTAAAAAACTTATTGAAATTAAAAAGTTTTTAAAGAGTTTAATGAATAACTTCTTATTGAAATTATATTATATAAGTATATTAAAAATGATAGAGCGTTTAATTTTGTACTAAAAACTTTTCATACATTTATCGACGCTAAAGTTTTGCTATAAAGTGGCTAAATTTACCTAAAATTTTTTTATTACAAAATAAATTATTTTATCTTTCAGTTTTATTATCAGAATTTAAGAATAATAAATTTAATTAATTGCAAATTTATTAAGAGCATAAATTTTATAAGTTAAATTAATTTAAAAGTTGGTTTAAATTTTCAATATTTGCTGATATATTTCACTAATATTCCGCACAGATTTGCACTAAAATTTGAGTACATACTTAGCCTGGTTTAAAATACATATATGTATTTATATATATCTAGCAGAAGGTACCGCTGGATAATAGTTACATTAGACTTTCCAGAGAAAGTTAGCGATCGTGTTGAATATTTAATACGAATTTGATTAAATTTAAACTCCGGTTTTACGTAAACAAAGTTTAATAAAAAAAAAAATAATAAATTTTGTTATGTAGAGTCACAAAGCGTAGAGTCACAGGGTGCAACATGCCGTGCTGATTGACAATTTAGTTAGTTTTATTTTTTAATTTTGTTTTTAGTATTGAACAATATTTAATAAATTAATAAAAATAAAACATTTAAGTCACTCCCTTCCATTTATACACTTGCTCACTTAATCTTCAAGCGTTATCGGTTGGGTAGCAGCCTATGTGTCACGAGATATCGAGACATGATCACACATTTGTTTTTTAAATTTACATTCATAGCAGCATAGAGATTGTGTAAATCAAAGCTTAAGCTGTTGCAAAAAAATAGCAGTCGCAGAATAAATATTGAGTAAATAAATAATATTTAAAAAATAGCGAAGAAATAAAAAATAATTAAATTTTTATTAAGTACACGGAAAGAACAAGATGACACTTAACTGGATATCATCCCAGGTTATATACTGAGTGAAAAAAAATTTCAGATAGTAGCTAGTATAATCCAGATTACAATTATAATCCAGATATCACGCAGTATAATCTGGATTTTTCTATCTACACTAATAGAAGGATTTTTTTATAGTCAAAAATATTTGTTAATATTTAACAAATCCTTTCTTAGTATTTAAAATAATTTTTTTGTATTTAATAAATCTAATATTCATTTATTAAATATTAATAAATATTTTTAAATGCTAAGAAATATTTGTTAAGGACTAAAAAGTGGTCCTTAAAAAATGATTTGTTAAATATTAACAATTATTTTTAACTATAAACAAATCCTATCAATGTACGATCTAAAAATTTTTTTTCACCTTAGATATCATTGAGTATAATCTGAGATAATATCCAATGTCATCTATACTGAGAAAAAAAATACTTTTACTTAATTAACAATTTCTTGGTTCAAATATTCTATTGTTATTAATTATTAATTTTTGAAGAGAAGAGCATCAATATTTATCTTTGGATAATAGATAAACAAGAGAATAGTTTTATTTTAATTAAGTAAAAATTATTTCAATCAATTTAACAAGTTCTTGAGCTAAGAATATATATTCTTGAAAATTTTCTTGATACAAGAAAATTTTCTTTATAAAAGTATTTTTTTTTCTCAGTGTATAAAAAAAAATGAGTATGTTAGTTAAAATATATTTAATATTTTTTTTTTAATATATTATTATTTGGCAGAGGTCGCAGTGGATAGACTCACCTGCTGTTGAAGGTGAGGCGGTACGGCACCCTGCTGATGGGCCATAACGCCAACACCCGGACCACCTTGCTGATTCGACGTTGTTACAGTTGTGTAGCTGTGGTGGTTCGCTTGTTGGTACGCTAGATGCGGTGGATTGTTTTGTTGTTGATGTTGTTGTTGTTGTTGTTGTTGTTGTAGTTGTTGTTGATGTTGTTGTTGTGGTTGTTGTTGTTGTTGTTGTTGTTGTTGTTGTTGTTGTTGTCTAGAGTCTAAGTGACAGACAGGGACAGACACAGGCACAATGCAGGCATCTAGCAACAGAGAAGAGAACAGAATCGTGTTGTCATTCATGGCTCATTCTTTCTTTTAGCTCAATTTTATTATTTCACGATAATTAATAAATAATAAAACTACAATTTTATTTATTAAATAATTATTAATTATTATTTTTATTAAAATAATATTTTACTATAATAATTATTTTAAATAATTATTATTTATTATTTTTATTAAAATAATATTTTATTATAATAATTATTATTTATCAATACTGCTGTTACTTTAGTTTTTAATTAACGGATAAAATAAAATTAAACGACCAGAATTTATTGGAAAGTAGAAACAATATTTCATATCGATATAACTTTTATCTATTCTTTATTTTTTCGATGGAACTATTGATGCTTTTTTTTTTTTGATGGAAAAAAAAATAGATAATCCATTTCACGGTGAGCTAACGCAAATTATTATTTTTTTTTATTTATTTAATAATTAATTAATTAATTTATTTATTTATTAAGTGAAAAAATTTCATTCAAATAATTGTAAAGATAAAATAAAATTAAAAAAGCAGGAGCGATAGTTAATTAAAAAAAATAATTGATATCTTTGGCATAAACTCATCACCGTGAAATGGTATTAACAATTGTTAAATGGCCAGCATGACAACACGACACGAACGACAATCATGTGACACGACGACCATCGACCAGTTTCAGGCACACAGAAAGAAAGATATAAATATAAATATATATGTATATATATCACGTCATTATATAGATATATATATATACGCATGAAATTCTTGTATTAGTGTACATAATAATAATAAATCATAATAATAGTAACGATAATAAAAAAAAGTATCAATAAAATGGAGCAACACGATCGCAGATTAACATTTATGTTTTTATACCTCACATATTTATCGCACAATGTTACTCATATAATAATAAATAATCGTTATATTATTTTTTTATAATTATCCAATTATTTGTACTTTGTTCGAATTATTATTTCATAATTATTGCATTAAGTAAATATTTATTAAATAACTGCAGCGCAAATTTGGAATATTAAAATATTTTTTTTCCCTCAGAAATTAATTTATGTTGCATTAAAATAATTTTTCAAGTTTATTATTATTATAATTATTATTATATAAGTACACTGAATAAAGCCTTAGTATACCGCATTTTGAATACAAAAATACAGAAGAAAGACAAATATGTAGTAGAGTAATGGAGCCATATAGAAAACGCTCAAAGATAGATAGACAAAAATAGAACAATATACATATATATGAATATAAATATATATATATATATATAATATATGTATACATATATAGCAATAGATTAATATAGATACTTAATAAAATACATCGAAAGCAGCGAATGTTATATTTGCATTTGTCATGTGTCAGCATTAATTAATTCTCATATATTTAAAAATATATTTTAGCGAATGTTGTTGTTAATGTTGATAATGTTATTGCATTGTTAATGGTAAATGTCTTATTGATATAATATAATAGAGCATTAACTTAAATATGTACCTTGTAGATGAGGCATTGGCTATGAATTATTATAATAATAAATAATAAAAATCGACGGGAGAGATTTTAAATAAAAAAGACCCTTTGCCTGTCGTCTGGCACATTGAGTCTCGTGTCTTGTGTTGCTTGCCGTCTTTTACGGGTTTTTTTTTTTTTTTAAATAATTATTATTTATTTTTATTTCCAGTGGGAATTTTCAGCAGAATTTATTTACAATAGTTAACTGACAAGATTGTTTCTAAAAAAAAAAAAATAAACGCGAAGGAATTTTGATTCTAAGTCGTGGTACTGGGTGTGAATCGCGGATAAGTGTTACCTTTATTACGTCGATGTCCTGGAGGTGGTGGTTCTCGGGGTGGCGGAGGTGGACCCCGAGCACCTGGACCTTGACCTTGTCCGGGAGGTCTTCGCCCGGCTTGTGGAGGTTGTCCTTTATTGGGACCAGCTTCTGCTAGGAAATTACTTGGTACTAGACCACGTACGCCGTCTAGTTCGCCCATGTAAAAACCGTCGTCGTCCATTTCACCGTAAACGTATATTTCATTGCCGGTTTGAAAACGCAATTCAACTTGCTACAATAATTATTTACAAGTATTAGTATTATTTATTGCAATCGATAAGATATCTGATGAGAATTGAGGAGTAAAATTCATAATGTTTTATTTTGGATTGATAAAATAATTACCTCGGCGTCAACATTAGGCGAGAGAACTTGCGGATCATAATCATAGAGCGCAATCATTTTTCTGACTGGCATGTTGGTGTATATATCACCCCACCTGTCATTCTGGCCTCTTCTGCCGGGTTGTCCTGGTCCTTGAGCACCTGGGGGAGGGTTCTTCACCTCTTCTACCATGTTGTGAGGCACAAATCCACGTCTACCCCGACATTCACCCCAGTAAAATCCGTCGTCGTCTTTGTCGCCGTAAACCTGGATAAAAATTATTATTTATCCAATTAAATGGTGTTTATTTTTTTGATAAATTTATAAAATTTTTCAAGAAATAAATTAAAAAGTCATCAAGAGAGAATTAAAGGCAGTCATGTGAATTTTTAAATAAATTTACCAGAATTTAATTATTTTTATAACAATAATTAAATTAAAAATTTTTCAAAAATCAAATTTTGACTAATATTATTTTTTAATATTTATAAAACAGTGTTAAAATTATCTCAACAGATAAATTTATTAAAAAATCTACTTAAAAATGGCCAAAAGCCTGCTTTTTAAAAATATTTAAAATGCTTTTTACATCTTCACATTTTTATATAATTTTATTTTAATTAATCTCAAAAAAAAAAAAAACTCATAATTTATTAAATAATAAATAATTTAAATATTAAATATTGAATAATTTATTAATATTTAAAAGTGTCATCCAAGGATACAAGTTAATAAATAAAGTTACCTTAATGGTGTCACCCTCAGAGAAGGGCAATTCAATTTCACAAGCATCAGGATTAGGTGACATTGTTGGAGGATCGTAATCATAAAGAGCGACGAACCAGCGAGCTCTTTTATTAACTTGCTGAGCATCTGGATGATGAGGACCCTGAACAGGTCCACCTCGACCACCGCGATAGCCAGGTCCTCTGCCCCTCTGAGTCCCTTGCTGATCATAATACCCTTGGTGATCCGGACCTCGTGGTGTTCTTCCTGGAACTGGTCTGTGAGTTCCAGGGGGCCCTTGAGGCCCTCCTTGAGGTCCGTATCTTTGGTGTCCCGGGTGCTGCTGCATTCCACGACCTCTTCTAGTAGGGTCGTCTTCTTCACTGTAATTCGCTTCGCTCGCCGAGTCTTTGGTAATCTCCGGAATTCCTAAAATCCAAGTTTTAGAGTATAAATAGCTTCTGACAATTAAATCTTCGTGAAACTCTTTTTTTACTGATAGAAAAATTTTTTTATAATTAATAAGCTTTATTAACTGTATAAAGTAATAAATGATTTTTTAACATCATATATAAAATTTAATAGATATTTATTAACAGTTAATAAATTATTTATTTAATACAATTCATTAAATGTTAATAAATATTTTTTAACAGTTAAAAAATAAGTAATTTATTAACTGTTAATAAATTAAATTATTAATAATTAATAAATCCTTCTATCAGTAATTGAAGAGCAGGCTTACCCATTTGTGAAATACTTTGTCCAGGATAAATTTCTTTATCCGAAAGATTTTCGTCAGTCTCAATGATAACCTGACCATGAGCATCGACCCTGGTGACACCCTGACGCCTCATGTGAGCAGGCACAGGAGCGCCGGGAAATCTCTGGGCCATCCGGTTGCCCACCATGCCCATGTAGCCCTGCTGGTCTCCAGGGTGCTCCATTCCTTGTTGCATGTGTGGTCCCCCGCGCAACACGCTGCAAGGAATCGCGGTAGCACAGCTGTCACTTGATTGGCTTTCCCTGCTCTTCGTTCTGACGGTGATGGCTTTTGGATTAAGGCCCATTAATTTGTGGATGTCTACTAATGCATGATCACCTGTCGGACTGTCAACGTCTGTGACCTTCTTGCCGTCCGCGTAAACCGCGTAACCGGTGACGGCCGAACCGTTTAGGGCAACAGGCTGCCAGGTCACTAGCAAAGTGCCGTCCTGCGGTCCAGCCTCCACCTAGATTCGTTCCAGATAACAATAATTCACTTTTAATTAATTCTGTAGGTTTTTTATTTTGCCTATTGTTTCATAATTTTTATTTTTTGGAGACAAGACTACAGATCTGTTAAAAATCCCGTTAAAAATTTTATTTATAAAAAAAAAAAATTGAATTTAACAGCAAACAGAAGTTTATTTAATTAAAAAAAAACAAATGTGATGGTCTATAAAAATTTTAACGTTGAAAAAGTGAGTTTGATGGTCAATAAATCAAACTAAGTAATCAAATATTTACAATTCTCGATTGATATTGTTGCGATTTTTGCAGTTATTTTTTATATATAAAAAAATTTTTTATTATTGAAATTAGAACAAAACCTTGATTTTTATTCAAATTTATTTTTTTATCAATTCTGTACAAAAAAAATGCTTTGATTATTTTTTTGAAGTGATTTATTGTCAAAATTTTGAAGTTAAAAAAGTATTTTTAGTAAAATTAGAAATGAAAATTAATTTAGCAGATATTTTATGATTTTAAGAATTTTTTTAACAATTAAATTATGTCAAAGAAAATAAGAAAAAAAAATTGACATTTAGAAAATTAAATAAATAAAAAATGGAATTTTTTAGAAATAAATTTTTGGAGCAAATTTATTTATTAAATAAAATTAAAAAATTATCAAGTGATTGCTAACTTTAAAATTACTTTTTTTTAAATCAGATTTTTAAATAAATAAATTTGAATTTTTAAAATTTCAACAATTAAAATTTTTCTACTCTATCCTATAAAAGTTTTATTGAAATTTTTATTTAAAATAAAAGTAATTACCAATAATTTTATCACAAATATTTAGTTAAAAATAATTCTTTATTTTTTGATTAAAATAAAAAATTAAAATAAATTTTTTCCTGAATTTAAAAATGTATTTTTTATAAAAAATCTCTAGTCTTGTAACCAATTATTTAAATAGAGTGATATTTAGTGCATATTCTAGTAAACCTTGATATGGACTATCATCATCCACTTTGCTTTTAAAAATTGACAATAGACTTTTACAAGCATTAATATATTGACTTCAACTACTACTACAACTACACTAGTACTAGAACTATAACTATTGCTACAGCGAGTACTATTATCATTAGTATCGTATAAAAAAAAAAGAATAATAACAATGATAAATATAATGATACAAATGATGAAGACGGTAAAAAATAAATATAACTAATGGATGAAGAATAGTATGTATTGTTCATTGTGTTTTGGATGATGATGATGATGATGATGAGTAAAAATGTGGAGAGCAGAGGAAGAGTAAAAATATATCTCAACCTGGATATCGACCGGAGGATCTGGTAGACCCTTGGAGAGAGTCTTGAAGTGTACGTGACAGGCAAGATTATTGGCCAACTGAGCGTTTTGGTCCTCGAAGTGAGTGGCACGGAGATTCTTGGCTTTCACAGTGACACGGTAAATAGTCGATGGTGCGAGCCCGGTGATGGTATGCCGATAAACACCTGGCTTAACTGTCCTTACTTCAACATTGTTGACACACACTACGTGCTGGTGATTGCTATTGCTCGGGAGCCATGATATCACAGCGCTGGTTGCCGTAACATTGGATGCTTTTACGGCTGTTGGACCCAACGCGACGTCTTTTCCAATTACCATAGTGCACGCCGCGTCCCGTGATGTTCTTCTCGAGTGTGTCACCGAGCGGACACTTATTCGGTGGGGCTGAACATCAAAGGGAAATTATTAATTAAACGTACTACGGTTTAATGGATAGCGCCGGCTATTTATAGAAGATGATATTGAAATTCTTATAATTATTATTTTTTTTTATCGTAATAATTATTTATGTTTAATAAATATGAGTTTCATTATCAAAACTTGGGTATGATTAGAGTTTTTAAGGTCAAGTAGAAATTTTTTATAATTAAAAAAATAAAAATTGTTTTATAATTAAATAATTATGACATCTGATAAATTTTTTAAATTTGAATTAATAAATAAATTATTATAAAGAAAATTTTTTTAATATTAATTAAAAAAAAAAAAATGTTTTCTAATTTTAAATCTATGAATAATGGTAAAATTAAGAAATTTGATTTTTTAAGATTTTGCTTGGCAAAAAAATTATTAAAAGAAAGAAAAATTTTTAAAAATTGTCAGATGTAGAAATTGAAAAAAAATTATTTATACAATTTAAAAAAAAGTGATCAGATTTTTTGAATATTTAAAAAATTACTAGCAACCTTGTAGTCACTATGTGAACTATAATTAAATAAAATTTTGCTTTATTAAATAATGACTTTTGTTAAATTGCACTGTACTTTCTTAAATGTTGACGTTTTTAAAGATATAAGCTCATCTTGATGTTACA